TGGTTGGACTCTCTGTGGTGGTGTCTCTGGCTATCTCCATGGCTTGTCACTCGCCTCGCCTCGCCTGGCCTCCGCCTCCGATTTTGTTTTCCACTAAATAAAGACATTAAAAGTGCCGTCCACGGTTCTGTTTTTGTTTTTTGTTTTTGGGATTTGTGATTTGGGTTTTTGGTTTTAAGGCTGTGTGGGGATTTATTAGGGACCACCTTTGGGCTTAACACTTTTTTTTTTTGTTTTTGGTTGGCTTGTTTTTAATTTCACTTGCCACACGGGGCAATCAATCTCTTGGTAGATTGTCAACGGCAGTTATGAGCCTGAGAAATGGTCATAAACCATCATTAACAAGAGGCAGCTGCTGCCTGCTCCCTCTGGCGCTTATGGGCCTGGACATGGACATGGACACGGATTGGGACATGGAGATGCCGTTGTTTTTTTTTTTATGGAGTTTTTGTTGTTGTTGTTGTGGTGTGTGGTGCAAGTTCCCGGGAATCAACTGCTGTGGAAAGTGTTGACATCTCTTCTGCCGCTCATGCAGCGGCTGCGGCTGCTGCTTCTTGTGGGGTCTGGGTCTCAGCCCTTTCTTTCAGCATTCTTTTGGGGGAATTATAGAAAGCAGATTCACGGGAAATTCGTTATGGAATAAAGAGCTTTTGTGCTCTAATTTTCCAAGATGTAAACCGATTCTCTAGCTCCCTTTTTAAGCCCCGATATCTGTGATATGCCATCTCTAATAATCCCAATTAAAGTTTCAAACATTTCAGAGACAGAAAAGACGTGTTGAAATGCCTTCTAAAGACACACACACACACAGAAAAGAACTGGCCAAACAACTGCCACATTTTCATGAATGAAATTTTCGATTTCCACTAAAACTCCCACACCACAAAAAAGATACATAGATACGGGATACGTTGAGGCGGTGGCACGAGTGTGGGGCAGGCACAACCTACTCGGTCATGCAAAACACGATTCACTATTAAGGCAAAAAATGGTACATGTGTGGGGAAAACGGGAAGGAGAACGGGAGGGAGAACTGCCACCGCAATGGGGCAGGCAGACAGGCACAGGCAGACAACAAACAGCTTTTGAAGCATAGAAGAAATTGAATGGAGGAGTCGCCACAGACACAGATACAGACACAGAGACAGCCATAGCCCCCGGGATGGGAGGGGTTCTTCCGTCTGGAGTAGAGATCGTTTTGGCTTTGGCTTTCATTCATAAATGGCTAAGCGGTAAGACGGGGGGCTTTTGGCAATACGTATGCCGGCTGTGGAGAGACCTCTTGGAGGAGGGAAGCTCTCTCTCCCTCTCTGTCTCTCTCTCTCTCTCTCTTCCTAACTCTGGAGGATGAGTCATCTGCTGACTGCCGCCTGGCAATGCAATGAGGCACGTGATGCCTGTTGTGTCGAGGTGTGTCAATTAGCAGTTGGTTGTTGCCTAAAGAGGCGGACAGAGGCAGAGGAACATCTATAGCCAGACGACGACGATGATGATGATGATGATGATGATGAGGAGGAGGCACAGCCACAAGCAGAGGATGAGGCAGAGGCACAGCCAGAGCTAGAGGATGAAGCAGAGGCACAGCCAGAGTAGGAGCCACACTCAGAGGAGGAGGATCAAAAGGGGGAATCGTTGAAAGTTTAGGCGTAAGACCACGCCAATGACTCATCTTGCCACAGACTTGCGACTGTGGCAACATTGTTGCACCGCAGCAGTAGTTTCGCCTCAGTACTGAGAATCGAAGTAATTTTATATTTGAACAGCGCAAAAGAACTACCAAAGTAAGGAGTAAGGAACAGCTGATTGGAACCAAATATGGACAAATGCAATCGAATCTTCTGGAATAAAAAATAGTCTAAAATCCGCACTCAAAAAACGTAGGCCGTTACTCTCTTACTATTTATATTTTGCCTTTGAACAAACCCAGTTCTCTAGCATTTGTCCCGTGAAAAGAGCTAGTTCTTTATGGGGGAACCTCCATGATCCGCTCTATGAGCGCCTTTGCTTGTGCCTTTTGCCAACTTATGAATGAAGCCATTGGGGTACGGGTAATCGTACCAACTGGTTTTGTTCCCTGCTCCTACTGCTGCTTCCTGCGCGATAGACTTTGGAGGCGATGTAAGCAGCAGCGACTCGGGACTCGGCACTCGGCACCCAGCACCCACATGTTGTGTGTGCCTCATGTGTGCGGGTGGTGTCCACATCCCATATCCATATCCACATCCGCTGACTGACTGGTTTTGGCTTCTCTATTAATTGCGGAAGAGGGCGGCGGCGCGGCGATTCATTCAGATTCATTTGTATGCGGCATGCCCCCAACCGCAACCTCAACATCATCGTCACGTGCTGGGCGGGATTCTTGGATTCGAATTCGGATTTTGGGACGACTTTGGGGTTTGGCGTTTGTGGCAGTTTGCGGCGGTTTCCTTTGTGGCGCCCACAAGCCGCGTGCCGCTTTGATTAATTATACTATGGTGGCCTACTCCCACTCCTCCTCCTGCTTCCTCTACTCGGCTGTGTGCCCCTTTCCGAGTGGCAAGCGGTGTGGAAACTTATTGGTTTAAATGTCATTGCATGTCTGCTAGAACAATTGTCATGAATTATACGGACACTGGGGATACGGCAGATGATTTTTCATGTCCACTAGCCAACAAATATGTGTCCATTATCTTTTGGATTGGAGCTAGTTTTGGTGGTTGGGCGAGATAGATTTAACAATGTTTGGACATCATTTATCAAAGGAAACACACAACAGTAGCTGCAGTTTGGTATGGATTTAGGAACAATCGACTGCTGAATCGATAAAGGAATACTCTACGGAATATTTCCTCTACTTTCAGGGCTCACAACATTCTCAAGAAAGTTGCTTATGGGGCCAGGCCTTGGCCTCAACGCTGAACCCGCCACAAACTCAATTCTTGTTAAGCATTTGATATCTTGGGCTGGAAATTTCGCGTTAAACTTTGAAACAAAGTCGCGAGAAGCAGCCACCATAGCACGGGGGGCATCAATTAGGCTGCCACCCGTGCAACCAGTCCATTGTTGGACCAGTGATGAGGCAGCGACCATGTCAATCATTTCCATAGAGCGAAAGAAGATCCATCGAGAAGATCGAACGACAGGGCAGGTGAGATCAGGGGCACGAGCGCCACATGACGATGCAGCTGCCGCCTGCCGCTGAAATGCCGGACAGCGGCTAATTCTACCGCCTGCAAAAATGGCAACACAATGAAGCAGAATGCAGAGGCCAGGGTGAAGGTCAGATTTCGAGGCAATCAAACAATGGAAAAATGCAAAAGACACACATACACAGACAGAGGGAATGGAATATCGTTTTGAATATGAAATGAAATGGTAGCAGGAGCAGACCCAGAGCCAAAGGCCGAGACAGCCTTGACCGTAGGTGGACTCCAATTACCCTACCCGGCGGCAGCTGGGAATCGCCTTTTGATTCCCGCTGCCCGATTGATCGACAGATTGTGATCTTTCAATCAAATGGCAGCTGTGCCTCGCCCCTGTATATCTTTTTGGAGTGCGCCAATTTTCAGATACATTATTTGCTTTGGTTTCCAGGGAATGCCAGGGAATTACACTTTTTATCAAACGAATGAAACGTTCCAGAAGAAGCCTCGTCATCAGCGCAGATTGAAATAATTCCACTCGGCTGCTGAGCTGCCAACTTGCCAAGTCATCACGAATATTATATTGGATTTGGTAGCGGCCCCGATCCTCTGATCTTTTGGTCCAAAACGGCAAACGCAAACACAGCCGAAGAGCGCAGATCGCAGATCGCGTGCGATAAGCAACGTCAATATTTGTGTTCCGCCGCTGGATAAATGGATGGATAGGTTAGGCTGGATGCTATATGGTATATGGGTATATGGTTTTTGAGATCTGATGGAAGCGGTGATTATGAGAGGTCCTTGTTAGTCGGCTTCACCGTCTTTGAGGTCGGTCCAGTGAGGGACAAGTGGAAGTGGCTGCCCAATTTGCGCTCTGTTTGTGTATCATTTTGTTGTGGGCCTGGCTAATTGTTTTGCTACCTGCTGACCTCTCCTCTCCCCACCGATATCTTGATCCATATCCAACCACTAACCATTCCACACTGCCCGCCGATCAGCCACGACGACCTGTGGGAATCACTGCTGGGAATGACTGTTTGCCTTTGCCTTTGCCTCTGCCTCTGCTTTGATTTGCTTTGCGGTGGGAAATCGACAACCAGACTAGAAATGTAACAAGTTTGCGGTTTTTCTTTTTGGTGAGAGCGGCTTTGGGATCTCTAATTTTCGAGTGTTTTTACTGGAGTTTACTGGATAACTTTTATACCAATTGATACTCCTTCAATTGGTAGGCCCCTAAACAAGGTTTCAAACGGGAAGGATACAAATATATGGCAATAGCACAATAAAATCTATTAATATTTCAATATTCAATTATTCTATAGAGTAACAGATTTCATACCCCACCCCCAGGTACTAATAAAGGTATTTAATTCGAGTAAATGTCACTGTGCCTCAACAAAAACTTTCAGATTGGTTTCTTAGAGTATTGTTTATTAGATTAGATATACAGTTGATCAAGAATTTGCATTTGTATCAACTGTAAATTAATTCAATTTTCAAATGGTTTGAAAATGGTTTTCTGGTTCTGTTCCTATTTCTGTTTCACCAATTCCACGGCTAACTAGCTCTGTGGCATCGCTTTTTTACTGGCTATCTGGCAACGCCGAATTCCGTTTTCCTGCAGCTTTTGCAGCCACGTGGCATGTTTTGTTTTTTTTTTTGTTTTGCTTTTATTAGATTTTAATTGAATTTATTTATTGCTAAAAGTTTGAAATTATTTTAAAATGGATGGAGAAAACGATTCGGAAGGGTCGGAAGTTTTTGAACTAATGGAAGTTGATGAAGACACAGACGGCGAAGAAGGGCTTCTGTATGATATCGGATAATTGTATTTTTTTTTTCAAATTAAATCTAATGAAATGTGTGTGTATGTTGCAGCAACAGCGAGGAACAACAAGAGGAGATCGCGCCGCAGCCCGTAGAGGAGCAGGAGCAGGAGCATCTCCATCTCCCAGAGGGTGCATCTGCTCAAACGACTGGCAAAAGTTTGTTTAATTCTGTGATGAACAAGAGAAAGAACCCAGAGGTAAAAGCAAAACACAGTTTCGTGAAAATTAAAAGTTCTCTAATGAAAAGTTCTTCTTCAATGTGTGCCCAGACGATTGCTGTCGAATGGTTGGAAATGTATAAAAAGTGTCACTCCACGGCGATGGTGCGACTGCTGCAACTGCTGGTGGAGGCAAGTGGCAGCAAATATCTGATACCACACGACACCAGGGCTCCCTTCAAGTACATGGACATACTGCTGGCGGCCACGCATGACTTTTATTGTGTAAATATATTTGAAATACCCCTGGGAAGGAATACCCCTCTTAATGATACATAAATTCTATTCTTTAGGTTAGCAAATTGTATCCTTTGATTTTAAAGGATGCCAGCTGCACTGCCGCAAAGCTCTGCTCCTTTGTGCAGTGTCTAGTGAAGGTCATCGATGCCAAAGCACAGGAGGAGATGTCTCTGGATATTTTCCAAGAGTTTTCATCATTTATTTTAGTCTTTTCGGACTCGAAAGTGCGTGCATTTCGCCACACGAGCACACTGATGGGTGAGTGAGTGAATGAAATTAAAATAAAAGAAATATTTATAGCAGCAGATGCGCCCTTTGTTAGGTCTCCAATTGATGACTTCCCTGCTGACCCTGGAAGCGGAGAAACTCAACCAACTTGCGGATATCTGGCAGAAAATGAAGCACAAACTGTTTGCGATGCGTCGCGTGGACTTTGTGGAGGCCATACGCTGCATGTGCTGCACCGAGTTCGGCCTGTGGCTGGCAAATTATCCAGCGGTGGCCTTCAAGCTGGCGGCCTCACACATGTACTGCCTGTTCGAGGCCCTGCATGACACATCGCCAAAGGTGCGCGAGTGCTGTCTGTTGGGTATATCGCGTCTGTACACCACGGATCCACGTGTGCACTTCGCATGCCTGCAACTGGCGGATAAATACAAGCAATCGGTGCTGCTCATTGCTGCCGCGGATAAGGAGTGGCAGCTGTGCGAGCTGGCCATACGCCTGCTCCTGACCTGCCTACGCGATTCGCCCGATCTGCTGTGCGACGAGGAGTTTGCCACCATCGAGGGCATGATGTTTGATCAGAATCGAGGCGTGGCCCAAGCAGCCGCCGAGGTTTTCGTGCAGCATCATCTCAACGACGAGGAGGATGAAGCGACTCGGATACGGCGCGTGGTGAAGTTCTTCAGGGAGTGTCCAGAGCATGAGCATGCCGCATATCTGGTGGATGCCCTGATCGAAAGGAGCAACGTGGTCATTGCCTGGGCGCCCATGGTGGAGATGCTGCTCAATGAAGAGCAGCCGCAGCAGCAGCAGAGGGAAGAGGAGCAACAGATTGAAGAATCCATCATCATTGAGATACTAACACGTGCCGTCAGGCAATCCATAACCGGAGAGATACCCCCCGGACGCTATACCAAGGATCTGGTCAGAGGAGAGCCCATGGCAGGGGTCAAGCAGACGGCCACACAGATCCTGGCGCCCGTGATGGCCAAACTGCTGCGCAAGCACAAAGGAAACATCGCAAATCTCACGAATCTGCTGGAAATCCCCAGATATTTTGAACCAGAGGCCGAGGAGAATGTCAAGCACTTGCCGCAGCTGATCAAATGGCTGCAGAACATACTCTTCCATCAGACGGACTTGGCGCTGATACGCACGGCCGCCGAGACCCTGGAGAGGATCTACATGCCTGCGATCTGGCAGGAGCTAGAGCAAATCCTCAGCACGGCCGTGACGGCCTATCGAATGGAATTAGGGAAATGGTATGCGGCTGTGAGGGCCAAAACCACCAATAAGAGTCGCGCCAAACGCCTGATTGAGCACCTGCAACGGCTGGCCGTGCTCTGCCGACACTTTGACCTCACGAAATGTCAACTGTTGGACCCCGCCCTGCAGAAACTGGAGCAGTGTCTCACGGAAGAGGGTCACAGACTGCCACGCGGCACCATCCATTTGTATTTGGAGATATGCTTCCATCTCCTCATTTGGCAGCAAAGGAAAATGCTGAAAGATGCAGCCAGCGACAGGGATATTCAGGAGCTAAGCGAAGGTCTAAAAGTCAGCCTGACGGCGGCAATTCGATTGGCATTCAAAGTGATCAACTGTATGCCGAGCAGATCCTTTCCATATGTGAGTAGAGTGCAGGATATACTCGTATGTAGAATCTTTTCTAATTCCTCTTTCAGGCCGCGACCATCATCTGTGATCTGTTTGTGCTGTTTGGCTATCACCTGCAACAGCACACCAATGCGGCAGTGCGCGCTGTGATGTATCAGCCAACGATCCAAGAGTTTGAGCTGCTTGAAGATCATTTGATGCAGCATCTATTCAATGCAGAGCCCGAGGAACTGCAGCAAGAGCAGGCTTTCGATGAGCTGCAAAAGAAGCGTCTGGCATTGGCAGGTTACTGCAAATTGGTGGCCTTCAATGTAGTGCCCGTTATGAGGTTCCGTTTTGTGTTGCAGTTCTACGACAAGGTGAGCTGAGATCATCAGCCTAGCGAAACCCTCCCTCTAAAGCCTCTTTTCCCCCCTCTAGTTCTATGATACCTTTGGCGACTTGATGCGCTCTGCCATGGAGAAGGCTTTGGACATTAATGCCACCAACTATGGCATGACACTGATGCACACATGCATGCGGGTCTTTTCGAGGGTGCAGAAAGGACAGGAGTCACTCGAAGATCTCCTCAAACTCTGCAATCGCCTGGCAGAGACACTCAACTCTGATCTGCTGAAGAGTCGCAAAGCAGTGCTCGCCTTGCATCGCGCTGGCATTTATTTTGCCTCGCAGCGGCAGGAGGATAGCGTGGCGGGTGCGCCACCCGACATGCTGCTGTTTTTGAGCGTGCTGGAGGTGTTTGTGCCCCAGCTACTGTCGCAGGATAAAATTGTGATTCTGAAGCTGCTAAGAACGAAAATTCCGGCAGAGTTACCGTCGTGTCGTCGCGAGCAATGGAAGCCCTTGGAATGCTATCGCATGTCCCTGGAACTGGCCCTCAAACTGAGTTGTCGCCGTGAGTTCAGAATCTCTTGTATCTGTAAATCTATCATTGTAAGAGTGGAGTTATAACGCTGTTTCCTTTTTCTCTTTTTGCAGGCTTGGAGTACGAGTCCATGGAGCAGGACTAAGGATTGTTTAAGGTAGGACACACATGCTCTAAGGATACATTTGGCATTCTATTGCACCCACGTTTTATATGAAAATAAAATTCCCTGTGGCATTGGCACTGCAATTTCATCTACTTTTGCCGCCACAAAAAAGGGAAAGCTCTTTACTCTCTCTGTCTATACATTGAGGGTATCTGGTAGATACATTTGCAGTGTCTAGCAGCAGCAGCTGCTGCTGCTGCTTCCACTCCCACTTCTCCGTTGGTTATTGCGGCATATATATCGTGTTTCCATCGCAGGCTGCTCAATCTCATTTTCGATTTCAATGCACGCCTCGCGCTGACAAATTGACTCGCAGTGCACGAAACCTTCTGTGGGTTCGTTCTATGTTTCCTCCTGTCAAAGGCTGCACGAGCGAACACAACCTTTGACACCACTCCACCAAGTCAGGACAAGTGGGCAAGGGGGCACACTTCTGCTCCCTCTCCCTCTCCCACTCCTGCTGCTGCTGCTGCTCCTTCTGCTGCTTCTGCTCAAGGTGTGTGCAGTGTTAAAATTTTTTGGGAAATGAAATGAAATTCAAGTGGATATTGGGTCACTTCTGGTTTTGGTTTTCAAGTGTCTGCCTGTCCAAATGGACTGTGCGGCTCTTGTGTCCATTTCCTTGGCACATGCCACATATCGTATTACACCGAAAGAAACCCAACAAAACTTTGAGTACGTACTCTCGTATCTCTACAGCTGTGAGACGGACGATCGATGCTTAGCCGGAACAAAGATACATTCCTGTGCCCCACATCAAGCACACGGGGCAACATCTGTTGCTGTGTGCTACACAGAATCTTAATTGGAGGTATCTACAGATCGAGTAGAGGCTTTCCTCTGCACAAGAGGCGGCCGGGCACACTTCTTCTGCTTTTGGTGGACAGGTAGAGACTATTAATTTCGCATAACGGGGCCCCCATGGCAATTGCATTTCACGCTCCCTCTACAACGGGAAACCTCATCACAGATGTCCTCTTCCTCCTGATGCCCTGCCCCGGTCCTGCCCGAAAGAGATACAAATCAGCTAAAAACGGGGAACGCAACTGATCCTGCCCCTCTCTCTCTCTCTCTCTCTGTCTTTCTGCGGCGGTTGCGGTTTAACGAGATGCGTTACCGCCTCCACCGACCCTGCTGCTGCTGCTGCTTGCCACTGAGAAGTTGTGTGACCCCCGAAACGTGATGTTTGGACGCTGATAAAAGGTCCTTCTGGTCTGTTCGTCGCTCCTCGCTTCGCCGATTAGTTTGCTCCGCTTAACGAAAGTGTAACACAATTTTTCGACTGACACGCGCATCTGTCGCTCGTCGCTCGTCGCTCCTCGTTCTCGTTCTTCTTCGATCTTAACTCTTCGGCAGAACAGTTGTCCTCCTGCCCACCGAAAAAAAATAGCTTGTGCAAAAAACAAAATACACACAAGAAATATAAAGGGGAAGGGCTCACGACACGTGGCACTTGATTCATATCAAATTTCTGTACTATTTTTCGGGAGTTTTACAAGGGTTTCGCCTTCGGTTCTCTGCACTCCTCTCCGGCTCCAGTGGACTCCTTAGCCAACTGTCAACCCATTTGGCCGATATTTATGGCCTTTTGCCGTTGGGCATCAGGCAGCGCAGCGCATCGCATCGCATCGCATTGGGGGGCCCGCCACCGCCACCGCCGCAAACTGCAACTGTTATTAACATGAATTTATTGCTTGTTTCGGCGTTTTTTCGGGCACAAAATTTACATTTTAATAGTGCAGACTGAAGGCGAAAGTGCGACCACACACAAAAAGGGGAATTTTGGCAAGGGCAGCGCATTGCCAATGTGAAGGAAGTCAAGGAACAGCTCAAGTCAAGGGTTAAGCTTTCAGTGCTGCCAACAAATTTGTTGCTACCATGTGATGCCTAAGAAGAAAGCATTCAAATAATGGAAAATATGTTGGGAAACTGTGTTCCGTTTTGTCAGCTCCAGGCGAAGCATGCAGGATATCAATTTTGAATTAAACAATGCTCCAAATGGTAGTAGACCCATTGATATGATCGTAGGGATGTTGGGACTTTGTTTTCCTAATATATTATTTTCGTATAAAATAGTTGCCAACAGAAGGAAATACTTGCAAATACTTCCAGTCTTCATTAGATACATTTAAAATAAATCTTGGGGTAACTATTTACCGCATACATATGCATGTACATTTCTCTCCATTAAACCCTGCAATTAGCCCAGTAATTCACGCGCATTTATCAAACATTTCCCAACTGGCTCTCACTCTTTTTATTTTGTTTGGTGTTTGAATATTTGATAAATGTCTTTCTAATCGCCTGAGGCATAGAACAACAACAGCAGCACATCAGCAAACATTAATATTCAGAGGCTACTCCTGAGGCCCTAACTCGATGTCAAGTTGCGTGTAAAAACATGAATTCTTCGATTCATCATCGTGACAGGAGGTCCTTCCGTAGTTCGGTACTTCGGTACTTCGTTCCTTCGACCATTTCCATTGATAAATGCCACAAGAAATTTGTCAAATGTCAATCAGGCAACGCGAGGATCAAGAGGATTTTGTGATCCCTTCTGCAGGACTGACAGCAAACACGCGGTATATATTTTTTTCCTTCCTCCTTTCTGTTTTCTGTTTGCTGGCTGTTGTTGCTGTTGCTGTTTTCTAATGTCTTGGCAAATAGGTAGCGCCGTGGGTAGACCTCTGCGAGGGAGGACCTCTCAGGACTCTCCTCTGTAAATCAAATGTCTCCTCTCCTGTTTACAAATGTGTCGCCAACGCGTAATTCAATCCGTTGTTGCCGCGGCAGGATGCCGCTCGACAGCCGTCGCCGTCTTGGCAAACCAATAAATACCATTTAGATATTGTTGCCTTAAGGACTCGCTTGGCCCCTGCCACTGCCACTGCCACTGTCATTGCTTTTGCTTTTGCTTTTGCTTCTGCTTCTGCTGTGGCTCCAGCCACTGCTTTAGCTTCTTTTGCGGCTCCTGCCACTGCTCGGCTCCTTGTGTGTCAACAGAGTCATGTGTCGGCATGTCGCCCTGTCTTTAACATATGTCCTTTGACACAGGGATCGACAATGGTTCGAAGGTGCAGCTGAACCCTGCCACGACACGCATAAATTAACGCACACACACACACACACACACAGAGGAATCGCCGTTGCATGTAGAACGAATCCGTTGCGCTGATTGCAGCTCTAATCCCCGCTAGGATCCTGCTGCACCTTTTGGCCGCCAGGGCCCCACATTAGCACGCGGCATGCGGCATGCGCACGCGCGTTTGCCACTTGAACGAAAGTCAGAAAAAGGATAAGAATTCAAGCTGCACAAGCAGGAGCCTCCGCCTCCGCCTCAAGTGCTGCTTCGGGGTTTAAAATTAGTCGTGGCCTGTCAGCAAATCTGATTTAAGTGCCATCTGCCCATCTGGTGGATTTTCGTGGACAGAATTTTGGGGCGATCCTTGTGCCTCTCAAATTATAATTTTAGTGGCAATCTAATTAAGCAATTACAAGCGTGCTGCCCTTTTTCAGAGTGTGTGGATTTATATAGAGTTCAAGGATAGCAGGGAAAGTGAGAGAAGATCTAAGGCAGATGCTGGGCAAGGAATCGATTACTGGAGATTTACTATACTCAAGAACTCTAGAGAATTTTCCAGAGTCTTCTTGGATGCTCATTTCTAAGTTTTTCTGCATGGAAACTTTCCTCTAAACTCTCTTCCACCTCAGAAGCTTAAGCAGGACTCCTTGCAGCGATAGAGATGGGGAGGACTTCTTTGAAGTTTGCTTCTGTTTGACATTCATGGACAATGATAGCTTGATAGCTTTTGTCTGAGAATGATAAGATATAGCTTATTGATTTTTGTGCAAAAGTATGCCCGAAAAATTAGACTCTTCTCCCCTCTAAAAACCCCGTCAGACCTCACGACAGCTGCTGCCAAAAAAATAGAAGAAACTCCTCTGAATGTTTGACCATTTGCACTTTTATGGCCCCTCAACGCAACGCAATCGAAACGCCTCTCTGAGGAGAGACAAAATCCAATAAAAATAAATTTAACACAACATTTGTTTTTGGGGGGAAACCCAAGCCAAACCTCATCCTGGTTCTGGTTCTGGTTCTGGCTCTGTCTCTGTCACAACAAATGCAAACGGCGGAAGGATAGGATGCGCCAAAAAGGGCAGACACAATATTTTCAATAATAAATCTATTTGATGGGTGCTCACTCGTTTTTATGATAGCCCCGGAGATGCCCGATGACAGCAGGCGCAGTCATTAAAAATCTCACAAAAATTATATGTCGCTACGGATGATTAATTGTTGAAGAGGATGCGCTGCTTCACAGAGAGATAGAGAGAGAGAGAGAGAGGGAGACTTCTTTATGGGGAGCAAATATATATTTGTATGTGAAATATAATGGTTCAGCGCTTCATCGATGTTCGTGCGGCACTTGGAGATGTAATTAATTTTCATTCACTTTCCATTGAGGGTTTAAGAGAGGGAAAACACCACGTGCATCTGTTGCAGCCACTTGACCTAAAGAGTCAGCCCCTTTCCTTCCCTTCCCAAGTGCCAATGGGGTATGACCTTTTGACCATCTGTGATGGTCATCGGTGTCCATCGGGGTTGTCACCTAATTTGTCCAATTTGTGGTCCGTGTCAGGTGCTGTAAATATTGCATTTAATTGAACTGTCGGAAAATGTGTCAAATGTCCAGTCCAGAAGGCCAGCGAAGCCAGCGAAGAAGACCTTCATAATTTCTGGAAAGTCAATGAAGTGGAGAGGATATGTCCAAGAGAAATGAACATTGATGGTTTTGATGGTTGATTTTCTAGTTCTCAGGCAGAAGCTACTACCTGAATATTAGACACAAAATGTAGCAAAATGTAGTCAAACCCACTCCAAGAATGGCAGAGGGAAGCCTCAAACCCACTCCAAGAATTGCAGAAGGAAGCCTCAAACCCACTCCAAGAACTGAATCGCAAACAGAAGCTGCTGCTGGCTTCCATTATCGAATGGAATATCTTTCATAGAGTAATCCTGTACACAAAACTAATTAAGATAACTTGTAGAAGCATAAGATGGTTGACCAGAAGGCGGGTGGGGAGGAGAACGAACGAAGAGCAATCCACAACACCTTTACACATAATTAGAGGCCTCTTCTGTTGACTGCAGCTACCGACAATCGGCATTGCCGCCTGCCTCCTTACTCAATGGATGGTAAACACTTGCATGGCCATCTCCATCACCTCTGACTCCCATCTCGGCCCATCTCTGCCCATCTCTGCCCATTCATTAATCCACATAGAAATGTGCGATGCGAGATGCAGCCATGGCGACCACGGAAACCCAAATGCAAACATACGGGGCGGCACAACCACAAAAGCCGCCAAGAGGCCTATTAGCCACAATAAAGAGGCAGCAGCCAAGTCAGTCTCTCTCCTCGTCTCATGCCTCTGGAAATTCTATTATGCAGTTATAGATGGGGGGGAATGGGGCATTGGGCCTGGGATGTGTGTGTGTGTGTGTGTTTTGCCCCAACAGATGCCATTACAATGTAAATTCAACACAAAAAAGTTCACTCGGCAAACTTGATGCGGGTCCAAGGAGAGGAGGCGACACGTGGAAAAGCAGCATAGACGACATCTTCATCTGCTCCGAGAGGCCTGGGCCCAGGCCCTTGCAACACAGCGGAACAATTGATCAAATATCATAATTTATCAAATGACAATGCAACAGGCAGCGGCAGTGGCGGCAACGTCTGAATGTTCTTGATCTCCGGACTCTGTCTATGTCTACGTCTCCGTCACTGGCCTTGTTTGCTTGCCCCAATACCCATACCACACCATGCCACACCGCAAAGTGCCTTGTTTCTCTCTCTTCTCTCTCTCTCTCTCTCTCTCTCTCTGAGGCCTCCTCTGATATTCCATTCCATTCGAAAGCTACAACTTAATTTATTTGAACAATTTAAGTCGTGTGTTCGTTTGGGGTTCTCTTATTTATTTCGATGACCATCAAAGCATCTATTTAGCATAATTGCAGTGCAGCTACAGCTACAGAGCTACAGCTGGAGCTGGAGCTAGAGGAGCTCTCTGTTTATCAGAATTCCTCTAGCATTCTTGTGTGGGGTCTTCTGTGGGTCTTGTGGGTCTGTGGTAATCCTAGATAACGTCCAGTGGGTCAAATATCAAAAAATTAAAACCCAAACCCAACCAAAAGGCAACCAAACCCAACCATTTATTGTTGTTCTATTATTTAAAATTCGTTGTGGAATGAAAGAAGAGCTTAAGTGGAACGTTTCCTATCTTAAGCATGGAAATTTGTATGAAAATTGTCGCCAGTTTGCTCACAAATTGATTAGCTTATGATTAACAGATTGATTTCAACCCAGTTTCTGTGGGTCTAAAAGTGAGGGAAATTTTTGTTGAAATTTTCATTGGAAATGTACGAGTATTTGTGATGATTTTTGATTCAATTTTTAGATGAAACTGGCGGAAAAGTTGACTGAAAATGCCCAGAAAATTAATTTCATTAATAGAAGGTACAGATAATTCATTAAAATTAAATTAAATTTTATTAAATTAAATTTAATGCATCAAAATGCAAAAGTCTCTCCAAAAATTAATTGTGTTATGATCCGAAGAAGTGTTCCAACTGATGTAGAATTTTGCAAAAATCTTTAAGCAATTTATGGGCTTTAAAATCATTTCAAAATGTCTAATTTTTCATGGAAAATATGTCAGGGTTTTCCTTTCATAATACATGAACATATTTTAGAATTTTATTTCATATAGTTTTCGGTCGTTTTTCTAGCAAGCACATTTCAATTCGTTTTTAAAATTAGTTGAGTTTAAATAAAAAAATTTACGTTTCACAAATGGAGGAGGATAACAAAGAGCTGCAGGTTGGCGATGGCATGGGCATGTGCTGCTGCAACTGCAAACAGAAGTTGAGTCCCCGCCAGCTGTTCGACGACAATGTGGAGGACATTGCCAAGAGCCTGGCACAGGTAATGCTGATCTGTGGCATCAGCACGGCAAAGTGCTGCCAGGCGAGGTCCATCATCAAGCGTTCGTTTGTGTACCACGAAAAGTTGAGGACGCAGTGCAGCCCGAATGCGGGACCAGAGTCGCGTCTCAATCGGGACGACATGCTGCAGGCGTTGCGCATCAAGTGCGAGATGGAGAGCGTCGAGGCCATGCTCTCGTATTCGATCATCAAGCGGGCGTTCAAGGCCTTCTTCCATGGAAAGCCACCGGTGACGCTGAGCAATCCGGTTGTGGATGCCATGGCCATACACAGGCAGCAGCCGGCCTGGATGCATGCCGCCTACAAGACGTCCAGGATCTTCGACAACTATCACTCGGCGTTCTTTTGGGCGCACAAGTCCTATGAGAAGCAGATCAATGCGATCTACTCGGCGCTCTACAGTCGCATGAGTGCCCGTTGCAATCCGCTGGCGGTGTCGCTGTGCCCCTGTCGTGGCTGCCTCAAGCAGAAGGTGCCCGGTGCTCCAACGAGCCGCGAGACGCGTGTGCCCCTCAAGTTCACGCTCAAGGAGAGCTGTGATTTGCCCAAGGACTGCATTCTGTGCGGGCTGCAGGTGCCACCGCAAATGACGGCGGGCTCCAAGGTACATGTGCAGCTGCCACGTCCCATACGCAATGGCGAGGTGAATCTGCCGCGCTGCGATGAGTGCAACAGTCCGTTGCTCATCTGCGAGTGCAACATCGATCAGGTGACGGGTGAGCAGTACGGGGAATGCGGCCAGGACTCGTACAAGGTGAAGTGGTATCGCCTGGAGGATGAGCAGCCGCAGCCCAAGCCCGTGTGGCCTTCGTGTGAGGGATACACGGTACCAGGGTCCGAGGAGCAGAACAGCAGCACGGCACAGCCCACCGAGGATTGGGAGAATCATCACTGCCCCGTGGACTGCCGACACGACAGCTGCAGTGAGGCCTCAAATGTGTGCCCCGGCGATGTGGGATCATCGAATGTGTGCGATGACGACGACTCCAGTGACGGCGGCTCCAGCTACCAAAGCTGCACAGATCTGACGGACAATATGGTGGATCAACTGGAGGATTATCTCAACAAACTGTGGGCCCAAGAGGTGGCCGAAAAGAAGAATCCACAGACGTATGTGGCCGGTACAATCCGAGAGCCAGGACCAGCCTGTAAGCGTTGCAAGGATTGAGCCGCCAGCCAGCTTCACACTGTATTTGCTCCTTTTGTCTAAGATTTCGTTAACACAAGCAATTCGAGTATTCCTCTAGACACCCCATTTTTTTTTTTTCGCGGGGGGCATTTCAACGCCCACACGGGAGCCAGCAGTGCGGCGCCTTATCGGGCTAGCAGAGATCGCAAAGCGCCCTGACAATGGGGCACTTAAAATGCCATTCCCTTTGGTTGTAATCGCCACTAAATTGCTGGCACCTCAACGACTCCTACGACTGGGCATGGGAGGCTTCTGTTCGCGCGTAGAGGTTCCACATAAATCGCATGGCATATCTATGGACTTGCATCTCTCTCTCTTTGCTCTGAAGGTACAAACACAAAAACAAACAGTGAACAGAGTAAGGCACGGGCTGTGGGGCACAGGCTGTGGGGCACTGGCTGTGGGGCACTGGCTGTGGGCTCTCCTCTGTGGGCTCAGTGTCTCTTATCAATCCTGCCTCATCTCCAACTGAGAACAGAGTCGAGAAAACAGAACATCTTCTGCGAAAAATAGTAATTCCTGTGCAACTTGTCACAACTTTTGTACGATTCAGCGAGGCAACGTGGAAGATGTCGCCGAGGACAGACGAGAAACGGCTCATGGAAGATCTAGCAGTGGACAGACGCCTCATGGACGAGATGGCAGAGTACAGACGCCTCTTGGAAGCTGTGTGGCAGAGGACAGGACAGACGAGACGCCTCTGCGCCAGGGATTGTCAGTGGATGGGAGTCCTAGTGCTATTTTTGGGCCTTCACCAATGATTCTCCCACTGCCTCTGTGTGTGTGTGTGTGTGTGTGTCTCACACATCTCTGTGGCATGTGGCATGTTGCATTTGCATATAGATTTATTTTTATGGTTTCGCCGCCTGCCAATGAAATTTGTGTGACGATCGCTGGAACAGAACAGAGCTCAAGAGACCTGAACTGAACAGACTCGCGCACTCGTCGTTTATTTTTGTTTTTGTTTTCCATTGATTTCCAAAGAGTAAGACTTGTTTCCCATTCCCATTTCATTCCCACTGATTTCCACTTAAATATTTGGTAATATTTTTGTTGTCGATGTCTTGCCAAATTTGTTAATTATGATATGCTCGCCATTAGGTTTGTTCTCTTTCGGATATTACTTACACTATTACCCCAGATCCAAGTGCCCTCTGGGGGAAATAAACAAAAGCTTTTACACTCAATTGACTGCCATAGAGCCATAGAGCCATAGAACACACTCCCACAGAACGAAAGATCACCGAGGATCGATGGATATCGCTGGAGCACTCTTACAGATCGTTTGGAGCGGCAGGGAATACTTTTAGATAGCCCAAAAGATCCCACAGATCGCTGGAAACCATTGAACTTTTTCGAATGGCCATCAAATTTGCATCTATTACGAACTCAGAAAGTTCTTTTAGGTTGCATTCGAGACTGCAGCCGCCCTGCCCAGCCCAGCCCAGCCACTCGAATGTTCACTTTGTTGCGGTCCGTCCCTCTGGCTCGATTCGGATCTCATCTCATCTCTCTGGTTCTTAATAGTCTTTTTATAGTCTGCACTTTTTCAACTTCAATTAATGAAGTGTCGAGTTGTTAACACCACAAACACACACACAAACACACACGCACACTCTTACGAGCAGTAGTGAAGCTCCCCTCCCCAATGGTTGGCCCATCGTTTGGGGCGTCTATTTCCAAACATTTTGCGCTGGAAGCCGCCTGCCTGGGGAACAAACAAACAAATTAAAACGAGCATCGACAGCAGCAGCAGCAGCAGTAGCAGCAGCAGTCGGCTGCCTTCGCCTGTCTCTCAGGTGAGAAAACGGGGCTGCCCCACCAGCACTGCACAGAGCAATGCATTTTCACGGCAGCGGGAAAAGCAAACAAAAAGCCGCATAGACAGCAGTAGAAGCGGCAGAAGCAGCAGACGCAGCAGAAGCATCAGAAGCTGTGTGTGGCAGCAGCAGCAGCAGAAGCTGTGTGGCTGTGCCTCTTTAATCCCTCAAAAGAAAAAAACTTTGGCCTAGCACTTAGCGGTTTACGAGGCAGCCTCCGCCGCTGCCTTTAAAGTGTATTTAGATATCAGAAGTGGGGAAACCACACCGGTGGGGCTTTTCTTTTGTGTATAGCTTTTGGCGACACTTTGTCGTGATTAAGTTGTTAAAAATGGAATATTCCATGCAAGATTATACATCATTTACTGTTTTAAATGGAAATCCAACAGTGGAATTTACAGTGGAAAAAATGCGAAAAAAGTAGCCTAAGCTTTGGGACTTATGTGCAAGGCAAAAGGAACTCTAAAGTAAAGAAATTAAATGTTGAAAAAGTGCAAAAAATAGCTAAGAAAATGTATGCGAATCTTTGTTAATTTCCAATAATTTCCATCATAATTTTTGTGGCATTTTCTTGTTTGTATTTGCCCGTTGGAAATCCTTGAAATTGCCAATTGGTTCTATCCATAGCAGCTACCCCCAACTCCTCTGTATGGATGTTAACACCTCCCTGCTGCATGCCTCCCATTGTACATTTTTCTCCTCTCTTATGGGCATTTCCCCCCAACCCCTCCCTAAAGTTTACTTTTCTGCTTCACGGTGTCCCGACCGAAATCAGTGTGGGAAAAAAACAGTTGGAGCGTCAAATGAAGCGCCGGCCGGAGAGCGGCCCAAACCAATTCCGATTTCAGGTGCAACCAAAATGAAGTTCGAGCCGCCAACGCATTCGAGAGAACAGTGAGAAAAAATGTTAATGATAAACCTGTTTGTCAATTAAACACAAAATATATTGTAATAGTTGATAACAGAATAAGCAAACAGAGAGACAGAGACAGAGAGACAAACGGATGGACAGAACAGAGCTCCAGATGCCGCGATGAGAACTTCCCAGAAACTAAGAAACAAGAATAGGAGAGTCAGGGCGGTGTGGGGGTAGGGTATAGGCTGGGAGGGGAGGGAGACACAACCTGTCAACCCACAAAAGAGGGCCCAAAGGCTGGACCCTGACATCGTCGCCTGTGTTTCATTATCGCCTTGCCTTTGCCTTTTGCCTTGAATGTTCAACTTTGAGGCATGTCCGTCGCCCCCCTCCCCAGTCGCTGCCTCTGCCTCGGCTGCTGCTCTGGCTTATTGTTTAGTGAAGCATTTAACTTATAAATATTGTTGTATGTTGTGTGTGGCACTGGCACTGCGACTGCGACTGGCTGTGGCAGAGGAAAAAGTGTTTTGTATATGTGATACCGTTTTGAGAGGCAGCGTTTCGAATGGGGCAGGGCAGGGCCGGGCCAGGCCAGGCCAGGCACTTCAGTCTTTGCGTCTCTTCTTGGGGCATCTTCTTGCTGTGAAATATTTCCCATGACAATTCTGTTTGCTTTTCGTGTGCTGCATTGTCTGCCCTGCCGTTCGTTCTCTTGGCACCTTCTCTCATCTCCTCACATCTCACCTCATCTGGGGGTCTCTGGTCTCTGGTCTCTGGTGTTGTCGTCGCCCACTCGTCGTCGTCGCAGTGGATCCCACCAGGGGAAACAAGTGAGTTCAGTTCGTCGCTCTATTTGCTTTATCTATGCTTCGCCCTGAAACCCATTGGCATTTCTGGCTTTTCTTTGTGACGGCTCGGGGCTGTGGCTGTGGCGCTGCTTTTTCCCAGGCCCTTGGACACAAGCCTGTCAAAGTCGAATCTACCAGCTTTGAGAGAAATACTCCACTCTACTCCACTCCACGCCAGCACCAGTCCAAATGGCGGCATTTAGGACTGTTTTCAACAGCCCCGACTGGCACGAGTTGGCATCCCAGGCATCCTACTGCTCCCCTTACACTTCGTCCTTCGAGGCGAACCAGTTGCGAAAATAACCAAACATTTTGAAAGGAAATTATGCGATATTCATGGGGCCGACGAAATGCGACCCATGCGATGCTCTAACTGTCAGGGAAAGAGAGAAGAATTCTCATTGAAGAAGATCGCTCAGGGATCGCTTGAGTGTGGGATCCTCATCTCTATTTTACGTAGATTTCTGTGGCCTTAATTTGCAGACTTATTGGCACAAACCATCAGCGAAGGCTTCGCCTCAAAACCATCTTCTATTTCATAATATCCTCAGCTGGCAAAAGGGTAGAACTTATTAAGGCTCCACCATCCCCCCCCGCCACGCCATGCCTTCCCTGCCCAGAGCTGTCGGCGAGGTCAATGAAGTGCCGCCGAAATTCCGCGGAATTAAACCGCCAAAAAAGAAAAGAGAAAGAGAGAGAGAACTTAACTCAGAACAGAACTGAAGCGAACGATGCTGCCAATTTGCGATCGTTGGTAATTATATTTGTGTTTGCGGTTTCTCTGTGTGTGTATGAGTGTGTATGTGTGTGTGTGGAACGAACCGAACCACCTAAAAGCGGGTCTGACGATTGGGGCAATGGTAGCGCTGCCACCAATCGACAAAGGGAATGGGCACAGCCACGGGAACGGGAACGGGAATGGGGACTGCCTCTGCTGCTGCTGTCGTCTGCTCCTGTGGCACCTCCTGGGGATTCAACGGCTGTAGCTGTAGCTGTGCCTGTGGCTGATGCCGCTGCTTGAGCAGATGGCATAGCTGGCAGTAGGGCTCCAAGGTAGCGCGTAGCTTGTAATTGGAATGCCACCAGAAGAAGCGCTGATAGAGCACCGGTTGGTCCATCAGCGCCTTCAGATGCTTCACCAGATGCTTGGCCGTGGCAAAGTCCCGGCTGCTGATGTAGGAACCGGGGGGCACGAGATTCGTCAGATTGCCACCGCCAATGAGGACGGGCACCATGAATTTATCGAGTGCCTGATAGAACTGTGGATGCACATAGTCCGGGCAGGAGCTGGGCTCAAAGATCAGCATAAAGTGGTAGGCACTGCAGCTGCAAAGAGAATAAAGACGGAATCAGACGGACCATGGCATATGGCCAGGAGCCTGCCAATCAGGGACTCACTCATGATAGCCCAAACAGCTTTCGTGTGCCTCCAATTCCACATGCTTGCGCATCTCCATCAGATAATAGCTCTCCGGCATCGTGTACTCATTCACCTCGTACATCAAGTAAACCGCCAGGCGATCCTTTCGCTTGAGCTGCTCGTGCAGGCCCAGGATCAGGGGCGTGGACATGTGATTGGATATATCCTCAATCGGTGGAGCGAATACATTGAGACGACTCGACTGATTATGCAGCGAAAAGTAGTACTCGGACCACACCAGATCCGAGTCCAGGCGATAGCTCATCGTCAGGTTGAAGGGTGACTTCAAGTGTGGCATCGGATCCTGTGTGAGACTCAGAGGAGCGCTGCCAGAGAACACCACCAGATGGTCCGAGGTGTGTTGGATCGCGTCCAGGCCCTGCTGCGTGTACGCACGATCTGCATTGATGACAATCGCCTCGAAGGGTTCGCCGTGAAAGTGCCGATCGGATGTCACCAAACAACCGCACTCCATGTGCACGGATCGCTCCCAGGCGGGGCCCTCGTTCCACAGCAGTATCACCGTATGATTTGATGATGGCTTGTGGCCGCCGCCCCCCTGGCACTTCCTGTAGTAGGGAACGAAGGCAAAGAGCAGGCACACCGTCAACACAATGCTCATCATCTTGAGCATGTTCATGTAGTACTCGGGCGTGCGCCTGTAACGCTGCAGATTCTGTCGCGACACCTGCGAGCGTCGTGGCGGCGGCAGTCGGTGCAGATCCGCATCCGAACCATCTGCAGCGGTATCCTTGCGGTAGGTTTGTTGGCTCTCTTGGGTCTTAGCTCCGGGCGATTCCGCACGCAGTTGACGCGGCAGAAAGCTGGGCCTATCCTCCATTTCCCTCTGCAGTTGCTGGGGATTGCGTCGCAGGCTAAGGATCTTGTCCACGGGCATGGCGGCCCCCTTTTTGGCTAGCGGCATTCCGTGTGGCGATACTTTCAACAAACAATTTCGTAAACTGAATTAAGACATGTATATAAAATGCTGCCTGTGAGCTTTGAAAAAGGACAAAAAAAACTTGTGGAAATTCGATTTAAAGACTCGAATGCCGTAGAGTTGTAAGAATTTCGAGGGAACGATTCGATTTCGACTAAAGGTTTTGTTCGGCTACTCACTCTGAATGAACTCACGAGGGGGCAGTGCTTTGAGTTCTAGATTGTGGCATGCTACGAGTGTGATATTTTTTGTGGCTGTAGCTGGCAGTTGGAATTGGTTATTAAATATTAAAATTCCTCAAAATCAAGGCACAAATTAAAGCCCAGTTAAAGCCCCCCAAAACAAAACAAAAAAATACACAATTGATTGCCTCGATCACACAGAGGCAGACCAGCACACACACACACACACACCCCCACCCCCACCCCCACACAGTTTTCAATCAAACGGAGTCCAATGGCAGCTCCGCCGCTTGCCATTCGCATTTCCGATTTGGCACTTTCATCGTCAGCCAAAAACAGGAACAAAGTAATCAATCATTTTGCGCCAAAAACCATCAGAAAACATGACAATCTGCCAACAAAATTTGCGTAACCGTTTGCCCAAAAAGGCAGACAGAGAAAGAGAAACGAAAGAGAGATAGATAGAGATAGAGATATAGATAGGTGTAGTAGGAGGAGGTGTGTACAGGCAGCAGCACGTTGGATCCATCCATCGATGATGTATCACTGCAATTTCCATTTTGCAGTTGTTTTTTCAGTGTCTCATTTCGAATGCGTGCCGCACACGGACGCATTGGAGGAGGATGGATGTGGCATGGCAAAGGCAAGTGCAAACTCAGGGGCAGGCGCAGGGTCAGGCGCAGAGTGTATCTGAATGGGGGCCAGGCGTGCCAGGCGGCGCTTCCACTCCTCCCTGAACGTTGTCTCAATTATGGGGAGTGAGAGGAGTGCGAGTGCGAGTGCGAGGGTCGTCTCCTCTTTGCAATTTTCCAATTGACAAGCATTTAAATGTTACGCATTTCATGTTAACTTCCTTCCATAAAACGTGACTTCGAAAAAAAAAAAAAGGCAGGAAGGTAGGAAGGTAGAAAACTCTGCCCAGATGGAGGAGGTGACAGAACAGGACAGGACAGAACAGGCAACGTTTGGCAGCACGTAGCAACAGTTTTGTGGGGATGTAAATTGCCCGGCGCACATCCATCCGATGAGTTATGAAAGTGAAATGGATTTGTGATTGCGCCGCCAGACAAACAAAAAAAAAAAAATAAACAAAACAAAAAACACCTTAGACCCCAGACAGAAAAACAGGAACAGAGAGCGAACCCCCTGAAACATGTATAAAATTTAATTATTCCAGCGAATCCCAAACAAAAGAGCCATTTCGAATGCATTCTCTGTGTAGGCCAACGGCAACAGCTAAAGCTAAAGCTCCAGTTTTGGCCTGTAGTCCTGATCTGATCCTCCTGGGGATGCTCGCTCGCTCACCTTCGCCTTCAAGTCAAAAGTCAGAGGAGAATGGAATTGAAATTCCATTGTGAATATATATTATTTTTTGGGGGCGTTACCGCGCACAGTCTGCGAGCCTTAACAGCGACAGCAACAGCAACAACAACAAAATGCAATAAATATGCATATGAGAGAAGTGCTGCTGCTGCTGCTGCTGCTGCTGGAAGGAGAGTTATGGGGCAACCAACACACGATTTGAATAATTTGGTTCCCACACTTTTGGCCACAAAAAATATATATTTATATATATATATATATGTATGTATGTATGTTGTAGCAGCAACAGTCTCCAGTCTCCACAAACCATTTTTAATTAAAGTTATTAATAGGTTCCAGGAGAAAGAGACAAGAGACAAGAGTATTCTGCTCACTCTCTCCACTGTGATCTCTCGTGACTCATGGCAGCAGCAACTTAGTTTTGAGTTTTGTGCCTCTGGAAGGTGTCCCTAAGTCCTATTATTAAATGCCGCACACATTGCGGTGCTTGGTGGCAACTGCTTAATTATCCCAAAAGAACCGATCTCCTTCGATCCCATTCGATTCGATTTCAAAACAAAAGAACCGCCAGAGCCATCGACTTGATTGGGAAACACACACACACATACAGAGCCAGAGAAAAAAAGGTCCAAAAAGGAGCTGCAAACGAATTAACATGTAATTATCTCAGCTTCGTCTGGAATCGAATCGAAACGAAACGAATCGCTGGGCGACACCCAGACCAAAAACAAACTTGTCTCTCGGCCTAGACCTAACAAGGAACAAGCGGAAAGATCCTCGAAAGCAGCCAGAGAGAGAGAGAGAGGTAAAGGCAAAGGTGGTTGCCAGTGGCAGCTGCCTCTTGTTGCGTGCGTGCCGTGCCGCGTTCGGGGTGTGTCTTCTTCCTTGGTCTTAAAGAGGATTCCACACTGACCACCCGCGCACAACTAACGCCAACGAAGGAACGAGGAACTCATCCCGTGCGAGGGCCAAGTGGCGCTAAAGTTGTCAGTCCTCTAAACCCTAATTAGGTGTTATCTACGACCCAAGCGCGCCCCTCTTTTTCGTACGAGTATGAGTATGTGGCTGACTGGCTGGCTGGCTATTGATGTCCACCGACAAAAAACACCTGAGAGAGAGAGAGAGCAACACAAAAAGTAAAATAATGCGGATGGCTGGAGTGTTTCTCGACTGGTTAGCAATATTTCGAGATAGATCTCAAAAGACTTCCAAAGACTTTCATTTTCATTGAGTCACATGATGTCACATGGATATTTTTTTCGGAGGGGGGTGGGCGCCACTTTATTCATCAGGGAAATACTATCCATCCATCCATCCATCATCTCTGCTGTGACCCACACACACACAAACGGTTTTTCGGTGATTATCACTGCCCGGCACTGCTGTGCCCCCAGGGGTAATTTTCCTGGCGACATTTTGCGCACAATTGATGGCAATTGTGGCGATCATCGCTGTTGATGTTGATGGTACGGTATGGTATGACACATGCTTGCCCCAAAGCGGATGCCGGCAATCAGTAGTGAGGCAGAAAAGCAGAAAAGAGCAGACAGAACCGGACAGCGACTGATTGGGGGCCGAGTGACCTACTGTCTGAATGCAACTGCAAAAGCTGGCAGAGAAATTAGATATAATTAGATGTAAACTGAGGAAAGAAAAGGCTAAGTGAGCTCTGTGTGTTTCCCTTTACAAGTGTCATGCAGCATTGCCCCACTGCCGCTCGAAGATCTGACTTTAATTTTTGGCATTGAGTTTTCGATTACAACTGCCACGCGTCTTGCAGAGACGCCCCTCTGTTTTATTTATGTTTCTTTATCGATTTCTTGCATATGCAATACTTTTTGACAATGGGATCACTTATGCAACTGGCTGTAGCCGTGTACGAGTTCTTGCGACTCAGCTCGTCCACGTTCATTTTCAGTGTGCCGTTCGCTGGATTCCATCGCAGGGTGGCCTCGAATAGCGGTGTCTCATGAACTGTAAAAAAATTCAGGACATAAACATGTTCTGTGGCAGCGGCGGTGGTGATATTTTCACCCAGGATCTCCTTGCGATCCATTAATCGGACCGTTTTGAGTTTGAAGCTCTCACAGAGATGTGTGAGATTTCTGGCCACCAAATGTTTGTTCATTTTTTGCACCACAGCGAGTGCCACGGCCTGCTGTTCGGTATGATTTGTGACTGTTGTTTTGGGGTGGCAGGTGCACCATTTCTCGCTGATGCCCGCCTGAGAGCAGCTGCGGCTCTCTGGCAGTTCGAAGAACAAAGACCGACAGCTCTTACACTTTTTGGCTTGAATTCGTGGATCGAAAGCCTCCGGGGAGCGGGTGTTCAGCTGCAACAGATGCTGCAAGGTCATGTGGACATCGTAATTGGACGAAAGCCGATTGCGATTCTTGCGCAGGTTCGCCACATAATGGGGATACTTTTGGCGGAACCATGGCGGCACATACAGCCACAACATGGGCAGACTCTCCTCCAGGTAGCCCGACTTTGTGCGCGCTCTAAGATCACCCCAACGGAAGCCATGATCGCTGACGACCATCACAATCGATCGCTTAAAGAGTCCCAGTTTGAGGAACAACTGCAGATACTCCCTGAACAGATGATCCATGGCACTGGCGCCCGCAAACTGGTCGTGCGTGAAGCTGTTGCTCCAGAACAGGCCAAACATGGGCGACTTCTGAACGAAACGCTGCACAAACTGCACGGCAAAGTCCCACACATAGCCGGAGTTGATGTGGCGACCCACACAGAAAATGGTGCCATATCGACGCTCCAGCTTCAGCGTTTTCTCAATGGCCTTCATAAACGGACGTAGATAATAGTCGACGGGTTGCCTGATGAATCCTGGTTTCATATAGTTGAAGGTGCTCAGGGATGCATAGTCCTCCGCATAGGCTGTGGTATAGCCCGCCTCCTTGAAGCGCTGCCAAATGTAGTCCAGTGTGTCTATGAAACCCTTGACCGCAAACTTTTCAGATGATTCCACATAATTGTCGCCCGTGAGAATGGCCAGCAGATTGGGCAACGTGTTTTCGCCCACCTTGTTGTAGCCCTGCATCTCGAACCAGCCAGGAAAGCGGTTGAGAAATCGAAAGACCTGTGGCATGGTGCGACGCATATTAATGCGGGAGGTGGAATCAATGCCCAGGATAATGACATTTGGCTTGGGCTCCTCCTCGTCCTGGAGTAAACGAAATGAATGCACCAACTCCTCGGCTGTCAGATGATCCTGGACAAAGCTCAGGGCATCCTGTTGTGTGATTTTTAATTTGTCGCTTTTGCTATTGTTGAGAGAGCAACGTGTGGTTATGTACTCCACATCCTTGGGCAGCAACAGATCATCGGTTAGGGGTATAACCTTTGACATTCTGTTGGGTATACAGAGACGCAGATAAACAGAGGGAAACCACAGAGATTCCAGAGCCTCCTACCTGTATGCATTATCGGGTATTGACGCATTGCCATCCCTATAGATCTTTTGATAGCTACACTCGAGTGTCACATTTTTCTTGGCCATTTTCGTGGCCAAATCGCCCCGTGTATGCAGTCGATATTGCTGCAGTTTCGTATCATATTCGGCTGTCACCAATTCACTATCGTTGTGGCAATCCTTTAGCGTCTTTTTTTTGTACATGGCCATGGCTTCGGGACTGAAGGGATCCACATAGGGCATCTTGCACAGCGGACTATCCACATAGTACTTGGGCATCGGTGGCTGATGCTCCACGGCAGCTGCCAGTGCCACGAGGCTGAAGAGTGTGCCCATGATACGAATGAGATTCATGATTGAAACTGGCCAGCAGGGCTTTACCTGTGGGAGCTGTGGATCTGTAGACTACGAGCATGACTAAAGTGCCGTGAAAACAATTTCTTGAATCGAAATGTCAAGGCAGAACCGAGGGCTGCTACAGATAGTTTTCTTTTGGATGAATAAAAGTCTATGGATTGGTTGAAAATTTACAGAGTTTTTTCTTTCGACAATCTCTTTACAGTCTTTAAAAGTGCAATATATTTTGAAGTATTCTTCGTGTCAATATATTTATGAGAGACGTGCTTTATCAGACAGTTCCACAGCTCAATTGCTCTCCAAGTATTGCTAACAGAGCTCTAAAGCCTTCTGACCGATAGAGGATCGCTGCTGCATGACGCGTGACACTTTTAACCGAAATATCGATGGTCTCAAAGTTGATTTTACATCATTCCCGAATTATCTTTATTACTTCTACTGCTTATGGTAATATTCCAAGCTACTGGGCTCCTTTATATCCATGTTTAATCGTCTGTACTCCTCTTTAGGGTTTTACCTGATATCGGGACTCAAGTCAGACAAAACTCTCGTAAGAGTACAATTTATAATATAATTCGCGATGCTCTGATCTCCACTCTCTGCCGTAACTGCAAAGTGTAAAACAGAAGAAGATTCAAAAGCTTTCCATAACACTCTCTGTTTCTCTCTCTCTCTCTTCCTCACTCTCGGAGTACGAGCGCTCGTATATATCATATTCGGGGAGTGCTGTGCCCCAGAGGACGCTGTCCGTACAATTTGAGACATGGGCAATTATGTAAATAACGCGGAGGCGCCTCTGTGCCGAAGGACACTATGTAGGATGACCGCAAAAATTATTGCCGGCCATTTGGGCAAATGAATGCGTGACAAAACGCAGAAAACAACCAAACAGGACCCAAGGAGCGAGGGCCCATAGCCATGCACACACAGGAGACACCGAAGACACCAAAGACACACAAGGACAATGGGCTGGCTGCCGCTGGGCGCCGAGGCGCAGCGGGAGTGGCAGCGAGGTCAAAGGTCAGGCCGCGCTAATGTTGTGCTAATTGCGATTGGAAAACGCGGTGAAAACAGTGTCTGAGGCGCCGGCGCTGGCCTAATTGAAGTGTCCTTCAGGAAAAGGATGATTTACAACAGGCGCTAACAGGAGTGGAGGAGAAGTGCTGCTTGGCATGGAAAGCCAGCAAGGAAGGAGGTAGAAGGCAGGCCAATGACAGCAGCATCCGAGACCACCCGGGGCGAAGCGATCAAACTGCTGCTCTCAAACATACGCACAGCATCCTGGCTGGCGGTCCTGCGATCCCCCCCCCTAAAAAGTGGGGAAGCCTTCGCTCTCTTCTGCTACCTTTTGTTTGGTAATTCGATCTCTGGCGCACGCGTGTCCCGCTTAAGGCATCATCAACGAAGCAACGATGCAGCCAGAGGATCGAAGGATCAGTCGGATCAGTCGGGCCAGCGGCTGTGATCTTTTCGGCCAGCAGTTGGAGCCAGGTGTGATATGTGTAACTGGATATACTCGTACTCGAACGTTGATCTGCTCCTTGGGTTCTGTTTCTGGAGGCATATGCAAAGTGGACCACCAATCGACTGGCACTGCCACTGGGGGGGCTGCCACAGCCACTGCCACAGTCAGCTGTTTGGTGTCTTTGGGTCTTTGCTGAAAGCTCATTTGTCTTGTCCGTTTTTGCTGGCCACCAAAGTTGATTGAAATTTTTTGGCAATGACCCCTGCAGCAGCCCGCCCGCAAGAGGCAGCTGCCACTTGTGCTGCTGCTGCTGCTGCTGCTGTTCGGCAGACTGGAAGCAGCTGCCGCCTTGAGGCAACTACCAAAACTTCACCCACTGGCCACCGCCAGATCGGCGAAGCGTTAAAACGCACACGTTGACAGCTTTTTTTTGGTTGTTCTTTTTGTGGCAGTTGCAGCATGGCATTTCAGCCGCTTGCTTAATGTGCGCGATTTCTATCTGCAAATATAAATTGTAATTATTGCATTGTGCTGCTGCTGCCTCTAACTCTGCTGCTGCTGCTGCTGCTGCTGCAGTTGCAAGTTGTTCTTATCGCCAGGAACCATCGGCAAGGTCTGCAAACAGCAGCAACAACAACAATAAAATTAACAAAAAATTGCAAATGAGTGTCGAAAAGCGGCGTTGGCTCGCTCCCCCTCTGCGACGCCGCCGCCACTTGATTGTCTGTCAGGCCCAACTTGCAACATGGTTTTGTGCCGCATTCACCTGGCATTGTTTTTTTCTTTTAGCTACATGCCCCTCTGTTTTTTGCATTCCATGCCCTGTAGAAGAGTATGCGGAGTAGATCAACGGGCTATACGGGGGAATATGGGTGTTATAGGCAGATGGAGCTGGTTATTTTAGATGGGAAAAGTAATGGGAATATTGTAGCTCATGGGAGATATTTTGCAATATTCGCGTAGATTTAAGCTATGTTCTACAGAATCTCTAAGACTACAACTAATAAAAATGGAATGCCAAATTTAATGGCAAGGCCTTGTTAATTTCAGCGACGTCGCACTTTAAAATTTCTTTCATTATTTTTGTTGTGGTATCCACAATCTACAAGATAGAAAGCTTTGCTTTGGTACATTTATGTAGATACAAATAATGATTATATTTGTTTTATAATCTGACAAAAATGATTGCGATTGAATGAATATTAAACACAAAAAAACTTTCCCAGTTGCCTGCATAGCCATCCGAAATTTACCTAAAAATAATTTACCTTCAATTCCATGTAATTACTACGCATATTCCTTGATTAATGGGTATATTTTCGTCGTTATATCCACTGTATTCGGTAACTTTTGTGCCCTCAAAAGGGGGTGGCGTCTACTGGGAACGAGACAAAGCGAAACAAATTGGCCAACTTTTGTTGTTGCTGCTTTTCGCTGCTGCTGCTGCTGCTGCTTTTTCGCGCTTTAACACTCTGTTGTTGCTGTGTGTCTGTGTGTGTTTTTTCGGTGTGTTGTGGATGGGGTGTGTGTGTGTGTGGGGGGCATTCATAAAATTGATGATGACGATGAAGCCCAAGAGGGCAGAAGGGAGTAGGAGGCAGAAGGAGGCAGCAGGAGGAATACTGTGTGAAATATTACCTTGGCTTTTGGTGACGACAGCTGCCACTGCCGCTGCCTGCAATGCTGCATTAAGGAATGAGGAGTGAGAGATGGAGAGAGAGGGTGGGGAGTGACCACCCTGTAAGCTGTAAGAATCCCCCAAGAAATGATTAAAGAAAATACATTTTAATTACTGCCTGGCTGGCTAGCTGGCTGGCTGGCTGTCTGGCTGCCACGCTACGTGATGAAAAGTGATGAAAATTGCTGCAGCAATCGGCACTGCTCCCGTGGAGATTATCCAACCACCAGAACAAAATGCGCGCGTTAATCAATAAAATTTGTGGAACCACAAGTCAAACATTGGAGAAAACCTCAAACATCAACCTCAAACCCTCCTGCCTGCTGCATCCAACGGTGCGTATGAAATTGAAAATACGACCACCATACAAGGCGACCCCATGGCGAGAGAGCCACTCCTGGATGGATGGATGAATGGAGGGAGGCAGATGGAGCCCCTGAACCTGAACCTGAACCTTTGATTTATCACTCATACATGTACTGTAGGCCAAGGCAAGGGGTAACCGTGCAGTCGATCACAGTGCACAGTCCAGCCACTCCACTCCACTTGTTTTCGAGTGGATTATTAACTGCGGCATTGATTGATGCCCCCACACACACACACACACACAGTCGTCCGCTACATGGACACACCTTCGCCTTTGCCTTGGATGGAGGTCTGTTGGTCTTGCGCCTTGGTCTTAGCCTTTGCCACGGTCATGGCCTGTTAATTGAAATATGTTTTGTGTGGCTCTCCAGTGGTCTTCTGTCTGTTGTCTGTTCAGATCAAAGAGTTATCGGCGTTGGAGAGAGCGCACAGAGTGGCGTTCGAATGATGATTTGATTAATTCGAATCGGAATAGATGCAGAAGACGATGCAGAGATACGCATAAAGATGCTGCACATACACATGCAGATACAGATACAATTCATGAGGATGCTGTCGATGATGGGATCTTTTTCCTGTGCTTTGTGCTGTAATTAAAACATTTGGAAAAAAAAGAAGCAAAACAAAACAAAAATGTTCTGCCTGCAACTTTGATGAAGCCTGAAAACAAAAAAGTGAACAACTTTCCTTACCTCCTGCTCTCTGTGACATTTGCTTGTGTCAACTTTTTCTGTGGGGTGGATTGGGGCTGTGGGGGCTGGCAGGCGGCAGGCGGCAGTCGGCAGTCGGCAGTGGAAAATAAAACATTAAACAATCATAAAAATAAATACATTTTCCCACACTGAGTGGAGTGGAAGAGCAGCACAGAAACAGAAACAACACCATCAACAAATAATAAAAACGAGAAGCAGTCGAGAAACTTTTGTACTACATGGAAATGTCATTCGCATAACAACAGCAGCAGCAGGCAGCAAGCAGCAAGCAGACAGCAGGCAGTAGGAAAGGGTATTGCCTTTTGGGCAACAGTGGCCATAGATGCCCTTCATAAATAACTGTGCGGCTATATGCATATGTTACAGTATTCCGATTATATTCTCTGCTGAATTTTACTTAGATATTATCGCAGCTAAGGGTCCATTTTTCCTAGAAACATCTGCAGATCTATAATTTTAGAGAATATCTAAATAATGATTCACTTTGCTGCATTTCAAACATCTCTTAAACATCACAAATACCCTCCAGAAAGTGTATACTTGTACCTCCCAGCAATGGTGATGATGATGATGATGGTGATGGTGACGATGATGGTAATGGGTGATGTGGCGACAACAAACCAAACGAAACAACGCACAAAGTTTCAATTCTTCCACAGTTCCGCCCATGTGCCCCTGCCCTGCCCATGCCCCTGCCCCTTTCCCTTTGGCACTTTAGGGTAAAGTTGGTGGCACCTTTTGTGGCAACTCTTTGTTGCCTGTTGTTACTGTTGCTGGCTCGCAGATAACA